CGTGCAGCTGCGCAGCGCCTCGGCGCACCGACCTCTCCCGAGAGCGGGACCGCGGGCGAGACCCGCAGGAGCGCTCGGTGCGTGGCCCTGCAGCGGAGGGCGTGCGGCAGGGCTGGCGGCGCAGGTGACCCCTGGGGGCCCCGAGCAAGCGCGCTCTCGAGAGGCCTGGGAGCGGGGCCGGGAAGTGACCACTGAGTGTGGGCAGCGGAGGCCCGCAGGGTAGCGGTCCTCGCGGAGGGCGAACGCCTGCCACTCACGAGTAGATTTTTTTAAAAGCTGAGGCAGGATTTGAACCGATGGCCTGACGCTGTTGCTGACCCTCAAGCAAGTCCCACCCCACACGCGCGAAAGGGTCTTCGTCAAAACCCAAAGCCTGGGCTTGCCTAAGCAACGGTGGGACGCGGACGTGACCCCTCTGGAGACCTCCACCCGCAAGGGTGAAGGTGGAGAGAGCCTGAAGGCCCAGCTGCCAGGGCAGGAGGACAGGGCTGCCATGGAGGGAAGGGACAGCGCCACAGCAGAGGGCATCCCTGGAGGTGTGATTTTTAAAAATGTGAATGTTTCCATTTTAAACATTTATCACAGGAAAAGACATATTGCCATGAATCCTCCTGGAGACACTCCCCCTTGCTTGGAACACGCTCATCTCATCGTTTTCGCCGCTTTCTGCAGCAGCTCGGGAGTCCTCTTTTCTGAGTGTCTTTAGTGACACGGTCCCGGCTGCCTCGATGTCTTGGTGGGTTCAGAACATTTCCCTTTCGTGGTCGTTTTGATTTTGGGAACAGCCAGAAGTCATGCGGTGCCAGATCCGGTGAGTAAGATGGATGAGGACACACCGCATTTGACACAAATTGCAATAAATGTTTCATCAACAACGGTCGATCAGATGATATAATGAATGTTTAAACTTTTAAAATTTATTACACTAAAAGGCAGATTGTCATTTATCCCTCTCAGAATATCCAAAATACTCCCCCTCACTTTGAACACAATCCACCGTTCCTGACAATGTGTCTTTTACCGTAGTAAGTTTTTAAACATTCACTGTGCTTTTCCATCCCTGCTTCAGGTTTGGGAACACACACACTGATTCCCACAGTTGTGGGACAGAGGCCCCGTCCTTGGTTCAGAGGATCCTCACCTTCAGCAGAGCTCTTTGTTGGTGGGTCACTGCCCTGGCAATAAAATGACACGGACGCTTGCTGCTTCCCCACCTGATAAATACGCCCTGTGGAAGTGGTTAAGTGTCCAAGAGAGAGGGGGTGGTCAGGAATGTAAATATGGGTGATGAGGGGTGCATCTACATTGAGGCAGATTCCCAGAAGGGCTGCAGTTGCGTTGGTTAATCATCAACATTTTTTATTTCATTTCAGGAAGGGAGACAGCCAGGGCATCCCCTTGGTGTTAGGGAACATGAGAGCAGGTAGGAGATAAGACATTCAACTTGGTTATGCCAGTAAACCTGTGTAATAAAATAATGATCTTAGAAGTGGAGTTTCCACGCTTCAGCCTTGAAAACCAAATCAAGTAAAATGCTTTATAAACTGCAAAGGACCGTATAAGTAGGTGTTATTAATAGCATTAATAGAGAAAATATAATCCCTAAAATATAAGTTGCTAGCGATTGTTCTTTCTCCATTTCCCTTATGATGTTCAGCTTTCTTGATTTACTAAGTGACTCAGAAGGGAACTTAAATAAGCTTGCATTTCTATTTGTAATCTAATCTTAGTAACAGTTGCTTCCTTCTGACAAGGGGTTAAAGAATCCCAAAACTGAAAATGGTTTGTGGGAATGGAGAAACAGTGCGAGTGTACACTCGGAAAGTTTCAGTTCCTTAGCAGTTGAGAGGACCCTGCGCCCTCGAGAGAGTTAGCTGTCCCTGCCACAGTTATCCCCCTTCAGAGAATGGCAGTATGGTGACTCTTGTCTTGCCAGGGTTTTGGGAAAACTGACAGAAAGCCCAGAAAATGTCAAAAATGTGAAGAGGGCCAGAGGCAATGTGAAACGTGCCTATTTCCTTCTGTTGTTTGTTTATTGTAGTTTCAGATCCCCACCGTGCATTGCACAGAAAAGATTTTAGATTACTCACATCTAAACTAGGCAAAGTGACTGGTAACCTGTGCTTTATTGCTATTCTTGTTTGTGTAGAGCCACTAAGAACCATTATTTTTACAGATTTACTAGAGGAAGAGACCACTTTACAGATTTATTTCTATCCAAGGCCAAAGTTTAAACAAATAGAGTAATGCTAGCTTTTACAGGAAATCATGGACCTCATTCTTTGATCATGAAAACGTCTTTCCCGGAGAGGAACGCAGTAGGGCCTCATGCAGTGAGAGGTTACTGAGCAAAAGGCCCGAGCACGGGAGTCCCTCGGCAAAGTCACAGCCGATGGGAAACACAGCCACCGCAGGTCAGCTGGTGTGCTTGTGCCGGCCACGCTCCACATGGACAGCCCTCTTCTTTGCAGTTTTCTTTTTGAAGAGGAACAAAAACACGTTTTGATTGTGTCATTTAACAAACTCATCCTTTGGTCCTGAGGCGACCTGCAAACAGTGAAACTTTCTCTGGTCCTTAGAGCCTCTGGTTCAGTGGTTCTTCTTCTTTCCCGGAGGGTTAACGCAGCCTGGAGTGACTAACTTCTCTGGGCACTGCTCTGAGCAACACCAGGGCCACAATCTACTGAAGGATGTTGAAACTTTCAGCTACAGGCTAAAGGAACTCCTTAAAAAGTTGGGCTTGGAATATTTCCCAAGCCAGTACAGAAGAAAACAGCAGGCACAATCTTCTTGACACCAAAAAGAAGGGATTTTCTGTTTGCACTATGAGTGAGTGATCGTTTAAATTGAAAATAACACAGAATGGGAGGTGACCTTTGTGGAGAGGAGAAGGGGCAGGAAGGGATGGGGGAGACGGGAAGGCAGAGAGAGAAGTGTACCAATTCCCCAAAAGGAAGGTAATTATTATGTACCACAAAATATAACGATAAAAAGAAACTAAAAAGAAAAGAAAGTACCTACATTCCAAAACTTTTCTACCTACCTTTGAACAACCTGAAATTTCCAAATTGTACTGATGTTAAGAAATAAAATATTGTGTCAGGTCTACTACTGAATTGATGGTGGCCTGTCAGTAAGTGTTCCCCCTTCACCACCTCGACCCCAGGATATGGGTTCCACATAATTTCTAATTTAGTTATTTGGTTGTTTGGGACTACAAAAATAATTTTCCATGGAAAGAATCTTAAGAATAGTTTTTAGATACTTTGTCTAGCCCATAATCAAACTTGTATATTTAAAATCAAAATTAGAAGGCAGTTTGCAGCAGTGCAATCACACTACCTAGAAAAAACAACACAGAGGTGCTTGTCTGTGTCGCTTAATGGTAACAGGGGTTGTGGATGCCCACTGTGTCCCGTGTGCTCTGTGCCCTTGGACACACACTCTTGTGATGCCCTGCCCATCCCAGACTCCCAAATTCCCTGTGGCTCAGCTCAGACTGCCCCGCCTCTGTGAAAACTCTTGAAATCTCCCGCTGCCTATCTCACCTGGCTTTTTTTGCATTAATCCTGAAATGAGGGACAGGAAGAAGCCCCAAGTGTTTGACTGAAACCAGGAAAACTTAGTGCGGCCTCCTCTTCCTGCCTGACCAACTGACTGCAATTGAAATGAACAGTGAAATAAACAACCGAGATTTATGTGGAAAGAACTACAGGATACATTGCTAAAGGACAAAGCAAAGTGCAGATGACAGCGCTGCCATTTGTGGCTGTAAATGTGTGACCCTTCCACAAGGAGACCCAAGAAATGGGACTGATAAGACTGGTTAATCCTGAGGGGATGATGGTGGAGAGAGGTGGACAGTGGCATGGAGGAGACATTTCTCATTGTGCACTTTTCCAGACTGCTTGACTTTGTAATCATGCATTTTAAAAATTACACACACACACACACACACACACACACACACACATTTTGCGGAGGGAGGAAAGTAATAGAAATAGAGCTGAAGGCTTTCACACTGAGCTACATCCCTAGTGCACCCTTCCTTTCTTCTTTCTTCCTTCTTTTCAGAGAAGCCTCATTAAAGTGCCCAGGCTGTACTCAAACTTGCAGTCCTCCAGCCTCTGTGCATTCTAATTTTTTTCAACTTTTTATTAGTAGATGTTTGTAGTATGTAGTGATTATGGAAGAGTGGGGAGTTGATACATGTATAAAACATATCAATTATTTTTATGTCTCCTTTTCTTCTCCTTCTTCCCCTCTCCCTCCATCTCTTGGTCTCTTTCCCATTTGGAAATGATCTATTTCCCTTTTCCTGTTAACAGTCTTTTATTTTACTGTTTAATTTATTTACACTTTGGGTTTCTCATGTAAGAGAAATGATGCACTATGTAAGCTTTTGTGTTTGATTGATTTCACTTAACATTATGATCTCAAGGAGCATCCTTTTTCCTACAAATGACTCAACTTTCTACTTCTTTATGGAAGAGCAGTATCCCATTGTATTTAATTACCACATTTTCTTTTTCACTCATCTGTCAATATTGAGAACATATGGGCCGCTTCCAAGATCTTGCTATTGTGAGTTGTGTTGGTTTTATAAAACCATTTCTTAAATATTATATTCAGATGTTTACATTTTCGTTACTGTTTCTCCATTAACTTTTAAAATCTACAAATCACTAGCATTCTAATGTAGTAAAATTTTGTGGTACTAATGAAGGAATCATAAAATATGCATCACAATTTATAACATCATCATTTCATTCTCTCCTAAAATGAAATAGGAAACACTGGCTCAGGGAAATGCCTGGCACACAGCACATTCTGCATCTCCCTTCATCTCTGCTTCTACCTGTGTGTTTGCTACCACTGCACCATCAGAGAAGATTCCAGAATGGCCTTCCACCCACTACCCCACAGAAATAGCACCATTCCTTGCTCTTTGTGACACAGTCAAACTTATGACACAATTAATTTTATTGTAAAGCAGCCTTGAGATCATCTTACTCCAACACTGAAGGCCCTTTGGGAGGAGCCGATACATTCTTCCTGAATATTTTGTTTATCTAGATTCATACCAGAACATTCTCTTTCTACTTCCTCTACTTCTTTAGCTTCCTAAGACTTAAGTAATACCCCGTTATCTACTTTCTTTCCCCATTCCATTGACTTGGTCTAGTCAGAGCTGTCCAGTCCTTCTTGCCAAACCAGTGGACGTTCGTCTGTCCCCACCCACCCCTGCTTCCCGAATCACTCAGTGCTGCTGATCACGACCACCTTACTGAACCTGTGGTCTAGGCCACTCTGTCACTTCTGGTGGCTCTGGGGGGCTGCTGCATGGAGTGTGACCTGTCCCGCCTGCCTCCTGCTGCTGACTTCTTGAAACTCTTCATCATTTTTGAACAGATTATGCTTCTGGCTCTGTTTGAGGAGCATTGTTTTGAGTTTTGATCACCATTCTGGACATTGTTTCCTCAGCTCCTTTGAGGACCCCACTTTTCCTGCATAAATGCTAGCATTACCAAGTTTTTTCACTGTGGCCTTTTTAAAAATCCTGTCTCTTCTCCCTAATCTTGTGACTAACTATGGTTTTTTTCAATGCCTTTAGTCATTTACCCATCTTCCTGTGTCTCTCGCCTCTGTGGATCTAGCTCCTAGACATTTCTTTCCTTTCTATTTCTGCTGTTAATAATTAAACCCAGTCCTCACGTCTGTCTAGATTACTGCAGCGGTCCTGTAACTCATTGTCCTGACTCCTACCTCGCCTGCTCATCCACCCACTCACTGGTGTAACCCTTCCCTCATGATCTAGCCTGCCCACACACTGCGTGTTCCCTCTAAAACCTTACAGTTTTCTGTGGTTCCCTTGTATTTTTGAGACACATCCCCACACTCCCTGGAATGAAGCATAGAACTCTCACCCTACATGAGCTGCCTGCTTGTCCAGCTGACCCCTAGCCACTTCTTCAACCACTCAGTTACAGCTGTGCTTGCCTGGGGGTGCTGCTTATGTGCCCAGTGTGAATCTGTAGCTCTTGCCACAGACAGATACTCTCAACATGCTATTTCATGGATCAATGATGTCTGCTTGCTTCAGTGTTTTATGATCAAGATTCTAACACCTAGAAAATCAAAACTAATACGCTAGCAGAGGAGCTCCAAGTGCATCATAACGTACTTCCTTTGCGAGTGTGTACCTCCAGCACTCACACCAGCTGGAGCTGTATTACTCACTTCCCACCCCAAAGAACTCTTAGCTTGGAAAACTTCCCGAAACTCAGCATTGCGTCACCAGTGAGGCAGAATATCCCTGTGTTTCTTGGGCTCTAAGGATCCTACCAGGAACCCTTATCAGAGACAGACGCTGCTGTCCAGACAACAGCCTCCTCGTTCTGCTTTTCCTCTTTTCCAAGGGCTCAGTGCACTCATTAGGGTGCTGGAAGGTGCAGCCTTCTCCTCACAAACATTTAATTTTTGATATTTTTACTCACTTATCCCCAAACAGAATTTAAAAATATAGGTACGACTCACAATGAATGCAATCTCTGTGCGCTGCAAACGTGTACTAATAAAAATTTGATAAACACATACTAAAAATACAGGTACAAGTTCTTTTTCAGCAGTTGGAGGTTTTTATTCCTCTATCTCCTTAAACATTTATTCCCCTTCCAATTCCTGCATGGAATACCCTTCTAATATAAAATGGTTTGTTTGCCTCACAGTCTTTATCAAACTTTTAAACAATAAAAACATGTATATACTGAAATTATTTTTCTCTCTTCTGATGATAACCATTAAGTATTAAAGGCTAAGCTATACAAACACTATTCATTCATAACTAATTTAAAAGAAAAATATATTTGGTGAATATGAAAATAAAATTTTATTATAAATGCATTTCTCAATGACACAGAGTTTTTAAAAATTAGTTTGCAGATGAATGTTATTTACAGTTAGGAAAAACAGTATTTCACAAAATACATATATAAAAGAGAGAAATGGGGCTCATTTAGATGTAAACAGAGCTAGAAAGAGTTTTACTATAGCAATACCATGTAGTTATTTGGGCTTAGTCTAAGGTCCTATATTAAGAATTGCACAGTGATCTGTCTAAAACCTTTCTATGTGATCTAGCTGTTTCCACTTGATTCTTTACTTCTATTTTGCTGGAAAGCAGAACTGGAAATCGTCCAACTTGGCAAAGGCTTGCTACTCAGTTACTAGAGTCATTCACTCTGTTTCTAGAGAGCTTACAAAAAGCTTTACCAAAACTTATCAATTGTTGGGGCTGGGGATTTAGCTCAGCAGCACAGCGCCTGCCTGGCAAGTACAAGGTCGTAAGTTCGATTCCCGGTACCAGAAGAAAAAAAAAAAACAAAACTTATCAATTGTTAGTAATGAAATCTGTCTCCCCCAGAGTAAACATCAGTGCAACGAGTTCAGAAGGAATTGAGAAAAGTGGAATATTGTCTTTAAAAATGTTGGCAGTAAAACGAAGCTTGATGCACATTCTCCCCCAGAGTAAACATCAGTGCAACGAGTTCAGAAGGAATTGAGAAAAGTGGAATATTGTCTTTAAAAATGTTGGCAGTAAAACGAAGCTTGATACACATTCAAAGCTCTTCTCCTGTACTTTTGGTATTTTTTTTTTTTTGTCAAAGCCCCCGAGCTGTAGTTAGGTTGTCCCCTGAAGGACAGACAGTGCCCACTGTGTAGCCCACTTACATGGTCCTCAGCATCACACCAGGCAGCCTTACAAGGCTTCCTGAGAGATTCTCTTGACTGTATGTCCCAGTGCAAAGGACTCTGGGAGTTGTAAACAGGCATCGAGTTCATTCCTGCACTTGACTCCAAGAAACAGAGCCTTAGCTCCAGTGTGTCTCTTTACAACAGGTCAGAACCATGTCACATTCCCTGCTCCTCGTAGACATTCCCTTTTCTCGGCTCTCACGGGACTTTCCACTCTGGCTCAGTCCGAATGAGTCATCTCCTTGCATTTTCATTCTGAGAAGGGCCTTTTCTGGAGTAATACAAATCCCAGAGTCCCTTGCAGGGGCAATTCCTGAGGGGTGTGCCCTGCATGCGGAGCTGCTGCAAGTGCAAGTCTAGGACGTGAATTGCACAACCACGTCTGACACAGTGACGGGATTTGTTTTCTTTCAGATTGCCACTTCCTGAAACCAAGGCTGCTTAGGAGAAACAGTATATTTCAAGAAGGTTTTAGCGGAATCAACTATTTGCAGAGTCAGATTTGCTGGTCTGAGTGTTTTCGTCTTCTTCGAGATAAAAGTGAGTACCAGCCTTCAAGTAAACATTTTCCATAGATGTGGGTAGAAAGGATGAGGCCTCGTGCATACGGTAATTTTCTCAAATTGTAGATTGCTCCTGTCACCCTGTTTCCACCTCGTGGTCTCATCTACATTTTATAACTTTGGGGTTTGAAGAGCATTTGTGTTTCTAGACACATCTGCCACTGGGAGGAGCCAGTGGGGAGGGGCTGTCTCTAATATTTTAAAGAGAAGAAAATGAACCATTTCTGCGAGGTTTTAAAAACCAGGTCCTTGCATCACAGAGCTTGTTAAACCTGCTACTGAACACCTGACCTCATCTGGCACTGAATCTAGAAGCCCTATTAAAGCATTAAAGGAGTTTTGGGATTACCTATTTGAAAAACTAACCTTGGGACTTTTGCCCAGAGTACACAAGTAATGATCCTAGAAACCAAATCTTTTATGATGGTATCGGTAATTTGGACAGGAAGCAGACAGATGAAAACAACGCTTCACACACTGGAAGAGCCGCCAGGTATTCTGGGTGTGGACAGCACTGCTCAGAGAGGAAGCATCTAGAAAAGTCGAATTTCTTGTATGTCTAGCTAGAAGAGGCTTTCCAGTAAGAAATTTTAGCATTTAAAGTTAGGGCTCTAGCCACCTTCTTCTCAACACCGTCAAATTCTAGCCTGAAAAGAAACAAAATACTTAAAATTATTCTAAAAATAATTTCTTGACTACTTCAGAGATTTTTAAGTTTGGGATGAATCCTTCTATTCTTCCCACAGTAAGACCCCAAGATTTTACAGCATCCGTGCCTGCATGAGGAAGCCAAAAGTTAAACTTTTAAAAATATATTTAAGAATGTTAATACATGTGTAATGACGGATATTATATAATCTCACACAAAATAGTATTGTGTGGTGTGTGTGACAGACCTCTTAAGCCATAACAATACCCCCCAGTAAGTGCTGTGTGGTGCAGGTTTGGCTTTAGAAACTGGAGTTTCCCTTAAGAATAAATGTGTGCATTGCATGTTATTTCTGAAATTCCATCATTGCTTCCACTCCAAAGCATTTCACCAGTCACTTCCTCCTGAACATATGTGTTATTTTTCTACTTCAGCAAATGATGGCTTTTGGCATAAACAGTTCATTGTAAATGATTTTCTTCCTTGAACTGTAAGTACCTGTAGGTTGAATAATTCTTATAGAACCTTATATTGAAGCTTTTGGCATAAACACATTCCTTATTTTTGTTACTGTATATTTGTATATAATAGATGGGGAAGTCTTTGTTTCTTGATATTATGAAATCTTGTGATTTGCTTTATTTACAGAATCTATAAGATAGACAGACTTAATAGTGAGAATATTGTTTGGTATTATCATTTTTCTATGTCTGAAGAACAGATAAAGATTAGTACAAATGTGCTCAAGTACAGTACACATCCTACTGACTTTAGGTGACACTGAAATTTTACCTTTAAGTATTTGATTTGCATACTTAGTTTAATGTGAATTAAAAATACAATTATCTCTTAAAACTTCTGTTTTTATGAATATTATTGCTTAGGAAGACGCTAAGTAAAAAGAAATCAAGCTAATTTAACAGTGATTTTAAGGAAAAATACTGCTATAGGTAATGCCCAGAAATAGCAAAACATGTGAAGGTAGCATCCAAAAGGCTTAAAGACTTGGACCAGTTGTACTAATGCACTGGAAAGTGGGTATTGTCTAAGCCCGTGTGATATCTTTGGACTTCACTGGTTCTGGATTTCAGAACTCAACTGAGAATACCATTTGCAGATCTGCAGTATATTAGCTGGATAAAGAAATGCTTCATCAAACTTTCACCAGGTCTGTGGTGTTTCACATTTCCTTATGAAGTGTCATAGAATTGAAGGAACACAATATTTTTAAAATATAATCACAGAGAGGGTAAGTTATCCCAGGGTAAGCATCACATGTCCATTCTGCTGACACAGATGTCCTGAATTAGGGGATAGGGACCTAAAACACCTTCAAGGGCCATTATGTGTCATGATATGTGCCAGTGGTCATTTCAAAATGGCTATATTTGGAATTTCCATTTCTAGGAATCCACTGTAGGGAGAAAATAAATCTAAACAGGAGAAAAATTCACCTAGATGTTCATCACAAACGGTATTTATAATAATTGCAAGCACTTTAACACAGAAGAAAGTTTAAACAGATTGTAGTATACCCATAAAATATGTTGAGTGGAAAAACAGCAGTACCAATATGGGAAAAGCTAAGTGAAAAATAAATTTAGTATCAATTATTTTACTTAAAATTTGTTCACCAAGCATGGTGGCATACACCTCTAATCCCAGCATTCTGGGAGCCTGAGACAGGAGAAACGGCAGGTTTGAGGCTGGCTAGGAAAACTTAGTGACTTAGAGGACCCTGACTCAAAATAAAAGTAATTTTTTTAAAGAGATATGGCTCAGTGCAAAGGCGCTGGGTTCAATCCCCAGTACAACAAAACAAAACCTTGTTACTACATGCATAAAATGGTATCAAGATAAGTACACAGTGTTCTAAGAGTGGTTATATTATAGTGGTAAGTTGATTTACTCTCTTCCTTTCCCTGCTTGTATCAGGAGGTTGGCCAGCGCCCCCCCGTCCCTCCCCCGCTCCGCAAAGGCTTAAATAAAATAGGCGAAGTAATGCAGGTTGTGGGGTCCAGGAAGTCAGAACTCTGTGGGAGCTAAGACTTATCTCGGTTGCCAAGAACTGTCACTGCGCACGTTGTCCTCCCCAGTCACTCCCCGGGGCGACCACGGGGAGCTGCAGGATGTGGGTGCGCGGGGTGTCACCGCGTCAGGATGGGGTGCGCCCTCGGACGCGGATTTCGCCACCCTCGCGCGTGCTCGGAGGGTGCGGGCGAGCGGGAGACGCCCGGGGCCCCCACCACCCCCGCGCCGTCGCCGACCCCCGCGCGCCTCGCTCCACGCAGACCCGCGCGTCCCCCGCGCCCCGGCCTTCTGGGCTCCGAGTTTGTGCTGACTTCTTTGCGCGTCGCCCCCAAGCGGCTCTCCACAGAAAGTCCCGTGAGGATTTAGAACTCGTGGGCCCGTCCTCACCCCAAGCCCTGCCGTCGCTGCGCCGGGTCTTCGTGCGCCACGCGACCTCCAGGGTGCGCGGCCCCAGATCAGACCCCGCAGCGGACGCTCTCACCGCCCGCGGATGAGCCTGCTTCGCACCTCATCTCTGCGCTCTGCACCCTTAACGGGCTGCAGATTCTCTCCCGTGCTTTCTACAGGGCCTTGCGTTTCTCATCGCCCTCTTACACCATCCTTGCTTTTTTTTTTTTTTTTTTTTGGTACTAGGGCTGCGGCCCACCAAGGTACAGCCCGAGCTCCTTTTATTTATTTTGAGGCAGGGTCTCAGTAAATTGCCCAGTCCAGCCTCGAACCTGGCAGTCCTCCTGCCTCAGCCTCCACAGTAGCTCGGATTCCAGGGGTGAGCCACCATACTCAGGTGTTTTCCCTTCTGTTCCCTCCCGCAGTCCGCTCCACACACCAAGCTTCTGCTCTGCCTCCTCGGCGTCTGGCTAGCTGTGCACCGTGGCTGGCACCCACCAGCAGCTGCACCTGCACCCCTAGAGTAGGGCCCCTGTGTTCCCTCCCCGGGCTCTAAAGCCACATCCAGATACCCATACGCGCCTCCATCCTGCACCCCACGGGCACCTGGCATCGAACATCTTCAGTACTGGCCCATTCACCTCCCGCACCTACCCGTGTTTTCCTGTCGGTACCCAGACCCCGTGGACACCTTCCTCAGGCCCAGCACACACACCCGTGCCTCCCCAACACTACCCATGCGTTTTGCAGTCACCGGGTCCATCTCTACACACCTGCCGAGCCTCCCCGCAGCTGCCCGTGCGCAGTGACCCAGGTCTTGGCAGCCCCCTCCGGTCCCTGACCTGTCCGCCCCCCGCTTCCTCAGCTGGTCTCAACCGCTTTCTCGGTCCGCTGGCCGCGCCTTCTCCAGCTAGGTCATGTGTCCCTCTGTTACCACGGGGAACTTAACCCCAGCCGTTGGGAGCCTTGCTCTTTCCCAACGTCTCAGACCCTTTGCCTCTGGCTATTCTCCTCGCCTGCAGACCACTTCTCTCTGGATTTCCAGACGCAGCAGGGGCATCACTTCCTTGTGGGAGACTTGATTTACAACCCTGCCCTCCATCAAAGTGAATGGCCACTTAGTCCTGCTGGGCTAGGCACTACCTAGGTCCACAGCGTTCCTCCACACCACAACTTTTATTATGTTTGTTTATGAGACAGAATCTCTCTATGCAGTCCAGGCTGGCCTTGAACTCATGGTGATCCTCCTGCCTCGGCCTCCTAAGTGCTGGTATTACAGTTGTGCGCCACCGTGCCTGGCTGCCCCAGAACTTAATGGAGCCAATGTGATGATTTCTTGTCTCTGTATACAGTTATTTCTTCCTGAGGACCAACTTTCTGTTATCTCTGAATTCCTAGTGCATGACATGTTGTAGGTGGTCAATGTACATTTGCTAAATACCTAAAATTTCACCAACCTCTATTCTTCTGCCCTATTTCTTTTCTTTAAAGGAGACTTATCATTGTTAAAACGCCCTAGCTCACAAAGGAAATCACCTTTCCAAGGGCTCAGTTGAAAAAGAAAATCATAAATTTATCAATGCAATTCTTGAAGTAGTAGACATGGACGTCTACAGGGAAAGGGGACCTGCTTGAGTTCGCCAGGTGGCTTGTGACAAGTCAGGATTGGAACCCAGGTCTCTTGATGTGCGGCTCTGGGACCCCAAGGTGAACGGGTTACCCAAGCAGGAGGACCTATCGAAAGGTCTAAAAAACAAGGCCGCAACCTTCCATCCACCGAGCGATGCTCTCCGCTGTCCGCTCAGGCTCAGCGGTGACGGTTAAAGCTGTGCTGACGTCTGAGCCACACCTAAAATCGTGGACAGTACCAACCCTGTACGGCGTGTTTTCTCCTGTGCCTACATCCTTGT